AGATCATCCTGGCTAACACGGTGAAACCCTGTCTCTACTAAAAATACAAAAAATTAGCCGGGCGTGGTGGCGGGCACCTGTGGTCCCAGCTACTTGGGAGGCTGAGGCAGGAGAATGGCCTGAACCTGGGAGGCGGAGCTTGCAGTGAGCCGAGATCGCACCACTACACTCCAGCCTGGGCGAAAGAGTGAGACTACATCTCAAAAAAAAGAATTTTTACTTATTCATAACCAAGAAGTATGAAAAAAATTCCGAAACCCTAAGTTTTTCTTGGACAGTCAACTTAGATGCCAGAACTCTGTTTTATAAAAGTGTGTATTTGAATTATAGAAGGCCTCTCATGCTCTCACTCATACCTTATTTATTTTTCATTGCAAGCCATTCATGCCTGGCATGATGGCGCACACTTGTAATCTCAGCTACTTGGGAGGCTGAGGTGGGAGAATCACTTGAGGTCAGGAGTTTGAGACTAGGCTGGGCATTTTAGCAAGACCTTGTCTGTCCAAAAAATTTAAAAATAAATAAATAAATACAAGTTTTTGTTTGTTTGGTTTTTTAGATGGAGTCTCACTCTGTTGCCCAGGCTAGAGTGCAGTGGTGTGCTCTTGGCTCACCACAACTTCTGCCTACCAGGTTCAAGCAATTCTCCTGCCTCAGCCTCCCAAGTAGCTGGGACTGCAGGCGTGCATCACCATGCCTGGCTAATTTTTGTATTTTTAGTAGAGATGGGGTTTCACTATGTTGACCAGGCTAGTCTCAAGCTCCTGACCTCATGATCCTCCTGCCTTGGCCTCCCAAAGTGCTGGGATTACAGGCATGAGCTACCATGCCCAGCCTTACAAGTAGTTTTTACATATCATTTAATTATTCAGTTTTGTAAATCACAACTTCAAAAAACTATCTATTTCAAAGATGAATAAGAAGATTATTTCTGTGGGCATTTACACTGGTAACCACAAAAAAGTGACTGGTTATCCACCCATTATCAGTGGGTGACAGAGAACAAAGAAGAACAATGTAAAGCTGATACAAGTCTCATAGAGCATAGCAGCC